TTTAACTTGCAAAGATTACCCTTCAGGTGCAAAATCTACTTCCTGCGTTGCTATTAACCACTTCCTCTTGTTCCTTTTTTGGCTTTCTAAATCATCACTGGGAGTGCTTCCTCCCAGCAGTCGGAGCTTTCATACAAACCAGCAGTGGGGAGAGGCTGAGGAGAGCCACATGGTCAATAAAACTGTCAGGCGCGCTCACAGCAGCGCAAGCGAACGGCCCAGCTCCATATACGTCCACGAGCTCGGCGGGCGGCAGAGCCGTCTCCTGACATGGGCAAAGAATCTCATGCCGCGCCCGGCGGCCTTCGGCCCTCCCTGCCCGCCTGTTCCACCAAGTACACGACGCTGGTCCCCACCGAGGAGCTGCTGGAACTGCGGGGCTTCACCTGCTGCCCCAGGGCACTGATACCTAAACGAGGGTCACTCTGAGTAAACGCTGTCTGCCTCCTGAACACTGCCATGGATTCCCCACTGTAATCTCATTTGACCTGTAAAACATTCTATTACATAACCTACACCTCAGGAAAAAGTACACATACTTATTATTGTGATTAAAAACCTAAGGGCTGGGGATGTAGCTCAGCAGCATGAGCGCCTTCCTACCAAGTGCAAGGTCCCAGTTCAATTCCCAGTAACAACCACAACAACAAAAAGATTAAAAACCTAAACCAGGCATGATGGTACACGCCTGAAATCCCAGCAGTCAGGAGGCTGAGGCAGGAGGATCACTGTGAGTTTGAGACCAGCCTGGGGTGCAGAGTGAAACCCTGTCTCAAAAAATAACCCCAAAAGTAAAAAATAAGTACAAAATACACAAAAAACATCTAACAGCTGGGCATAGTGGCACACGTCTATAAACCCAGCACTACAGAGGCTGAGGCAGGAGGGTCGCAGTAAATTCAAGGCCACCCTGGACTACACAGTGAGACCCTGTCTCAAAAAACAAAACAAAACCCCAAAATAAAATAAATAGAATAAATAAAAAATAACTAATTATGTCCAAAGCCAAATACTTTAAAAATTCATATTCTATAGAAACAAAATGCAAACTCCCAAGGAAATGCACAGCCCCTCGTGGTCAGAGCCTTCATTTAAGCTTTGGAACGTTTCCTCATGTTGAGCCACACCGAAAGGGACGATGAAGGCTTCAGAAAGCGGGCAGCGCTCGCTGGGGCTGCCGAGCCTCGGGGTTCGGGGTTCAAGTCAGTCTGCGCGAAGGGGCTGCACGCGGGCTCGCCCGCCCGGAAACGCAGTGCAGAGGACGCGCGCGTCAAGCGAGACCCGTTTGTGAGAACAGGAAGGCGCCGCTGGAGTCTGGAAAGCACAGCTGGGGCTCAGCGAGCAGCTGTGGGGCCAACCCCACCCGCTTGGAATGATGTCAGCGCCCACAGTCACACGGCGGCGGCCGGAGAAAGGGGGTCATTCACGGGGACGGCCGGGACACTGCGCGCTCTGTTGGGGACGTGCGTCCACATTCCGCTCATTTTGATAACCCTGTCCTTTCTGCCGGGGCCACGCTGCGGCCGCCGCGGGCCTGGCGCACGGCCAAGGGCGCAGCCGCTCCTCCACGCGGCCCGGCGCGGCGCGGTCCCTAAGCGGGGCGGCAGCTACACCCCAGTGAGTCTGTCACCCCGACGCCGCTCAGGAGCTGCTCAGGGCAGGCACCAAGCACAGCCGGAGGAGGAAAGCAAATCCTCCGGCCCAGGTCGGCGTGGGTCTGAGCTGGGGTCTGAGCCACCCCAGGCGTGGCCAGCGGGCAGGGAACGCTGGGCGGGGGAGGAAAGGATGGGCGAGGGGAAGGCTGCACAGCGCAGGAATTCCACAGCCAGTTACAGTCTTTAAAAGCCGAGAAGCCAGGCGTGGTGGCGCACAGTAATCCCAGCACTTGGGGAGGCTGAGACAGGAGGATCATTGAGAGTTTGAGACCAGCCTGGGCTACAAAGTGAGCTGAAGGCCAGTCTGAACTGCACAGTTAGACCCTGTCTCAAAAAAGACACACACACAAAAAAACACAACCGAGAAGCCGGGCAAGGTGGGCACGCCTGTAATCCCAGCACTCAGGAGGCAGAGTCAGGTGGCTCTCCATAAGCTGAAGGCCAGCCTGAACTATACAGCGAGAGCCTGTCTCAAAAAACAAAACAAAACAAACAAAACCCCAAAGATTGAGAATTAGAGCTGAGGACAGCTCAGCAGTAGAGAACCTGTTTAGTATGTGCAAGGCCCTAGGGTCAATCCCTAGCACACAGAGATGGAGGGATGTGGGGGGAAACTCAGCCATAAATTCATGATTTCATTAGAATTTCCTTAAATAAAAACCCCGGAGGGCCGAGTTTCACACCCCTTGTAATACCAATGGCTCAGGAGGCTGAGGCAGGAGGGTCACAAGTTCGAGCCCAGTCTCAGCAACTTAGCTAGGCCTTGTTTCAAAATAAAAAGGAAAAAAGGCCAGGAGTAGCTCAGCGGTAGACTGCTGCCTAGCATACACAAGCCCGAGTCTGATGCCCAGCACTGTGAGATACTATGGCTACTATCACTAACAGCTGGTGTGGTAGCCCATGGCTGTCATCCCACCACTCAGAGGCCAAGGCGGGAGGATCACCAGTTCAGGCTCACAATGGGCAATTTGGAGAGACCCTGTCTCAAAATTTAAAAAAATCAAAAGGGCTGGGAAATGTAGCTCAGTACAAAAGCCCAGGGTGAAATCCCTAGCAGTTAAAGAAAGACCATCCACATACCAACTAAAAGCACCTAAAAAAAAGTTATAGAGTTAAGTAAAAACTCTTTAAGTAAGACAAAAAGCACTTAGCATAAAATAACTACTTAGTAAATTGGACGTCATTAAAATTGAGAACTTGTAGCTCAATGTGGTGGTGCATGCCTGTCATTCCAGCACATGGGAGGCTGAGGCAAGAGGATCGCTATGAATTAGAGGGCAGCTTGGGCTACATAGTGAGTTCACAGCCAGCCTGAACTACAAAGCAAGATCCTGCCTCAAAACAAAACAGAACAAAGAAAAAAAAAAAAGGAAGAAAACAGAATACTTGAGAACAATAAAACATACAAAATGATGCAGAATAGAGAAATGCAAATTCCTGGGCCTCAGACTTGTTATGGTTTGTGTCTGGGTGTCCCCCCAAAGCCTCATGCGGCCATGGGGCAGGCTTTTAGAGTTTGATTGATTATGGGTGTGAGAGCTGCAAAGGGTGCTTGAGGCCATTCGCCCTGGTGTGTGTTTTTTGCTTTTGCTGTGTTCTGCCGCCATGAGCTGTAGCCCTCTGCAGTGTGCCACTCTGCCTTATAATCTGCCAAGTACGGACTGAAACCTCCACAGACTGTAAGCGAAATAAACCTTTCCTTCCTTCATTTTGGGCGTCAGGTATTTTGTCCCAGCAACAAGAAAAAAGTAACCAAGACAAGACTCATCCTGTTTTGTACCTGGAACCGTTTTACTCCATGTGTTCCAGGTTTATTTAGATTAGTATTTGCCTAGCCAATCTTTCCCAGGTCATCTTTACCCTCATATCTGGGGGGAAGTCTTTTGCAGATAGTGTGGGACTGCATTTCTTTTTCCATTTTCTTTTTTTTTTTTTTTGGTACCAGGAATCGAACTTGTGATCTCAGGCTTGCCAGGCAAGCGCTTATGCTGCTGAGCTACACTCCCAGCCCTGCATTTCTTTTAAAGTCAGTCCTGAGAGGCTGTCTCTCACCCAGAGAGTTGGGAAAGGGAAATGCTGACTGCCCCGCCCTGCCCACGACACTCACAACACGTGTCACACGACCACACCGTACCCTATGAATAGACAATTAAAATTGTAACAAAAATGTAAAGTAGAAAGCTGGGGGGAAAGAAAGAAAATGCTAGAGCAAGGAGAAAAAAATCTTAATGATAGGAGACTTTAGATAGACCAACCAACAAGCTTGACCTGGAAATAAAAGTATATGTGGGTCAGAGGCTGAGGCAGGAGGATTACTTAAACCCAGAAGTTCAAGATTAGCCTGGGCAACACAGTGAAAGCCTGTTTCAAAAATAAGTAGTAGTTGGGTGTGGTAGCACATACCTGTAATCCTAACACTTGGGAGGCTGAGGCAGGAGGATCGCTGTAAGTTCAAGGCCAGCCTGGACTACATAGTGAGACTATGTCTCCAAATGAATACTGTAACTCTGTAACTAAGAACTGGAGGATACATATTCTTTTAAATTGTTTACAGAACATTTAGAAAAACTGCCCAATTGCTAGGCATGGTGGTGCACACCTGTAATCCCAGCACCCTGGGAGGTTGAGGCTGGAGGATCACAAGTATGAGTCCAGCCTAGAAAACTTAGTGACTTAGCAAGACCCTGTCTCAAAAAAAAAAAAACAAAAAAACAAAAAACATAAGAAGGGCCTGAGAATAAAGTTTAGGGTGAAAGCCTTGGGTTCAATCCCTAGCACTGAGGAAAAAAAAAATTACCTGGGTGCTAGGTCCGGAAACAAATCTCAATAGACAGAAAATGCAAATTCAGGGAGACTTCCTAGGACCACAACGCAGTTAAATTAAAAATAAGTGTAAGTATGCTATACATTTTGAAATTATGAAACGCAGTGTTTATTTTTGGGTTTTTGAGGCAGGGTCTTGCTATACAGTAGCCCGGGCTGGCGGGAACTCACAGCACACCGGGATGACAGGCGAGCACCACCACGCCCGGCTGCATTCATGCTTTTGTACGGAGAAAATCTGGCTGCTAGGGAAAATGCCCCCTGGCGCAGGAGAGAGACCCAGCGCCTGGCCCACGTCCTCGTGGTCCCCGCTTCCTCCTGAGGAGCCGCCCCGCCGGGCCCCGGCTCCGCGTCACCGTCCCGGGCACCGGCTTCCACACCGCTCCGCCTGCACGCCGCGGGGCCGCAGGAAAAGGCTGGGCGACCCGGAACGAAAGCGCGCCGCGGCCCGAGGCCCTCTGCGGCCGCGGCAGAAAGGGAAGCTGGCCCCGCCCGCGGTCGCACGCTCAGAGCGAGACTGACCTTCTCCACGTCGGCCTTGGTGACGTTGATGTCCGCGTCCATCTTCTCGAAGTACTGCTGCGCCCGCTCCGCCTCCTTGCAGTCCCGCTCGAACCGCCGCTTGCTCTGCCGGGGGCGCCGGGGGCGGGGAGCAGGGGTCCGCAGAAGGAGCGCGCATGCGTAAATAACAACACGTGCGTTACCGCGAGAGCCGGCCAGGGGCCCCCTCGACATCCTCCCGTCACCGAATTCGAGCACACTGATCCCGCAGTCCTCGCTGCTTTCGGCAGCAGCTCTGGAGTGCCCTTTCCTGAGGGTCGCTAGCTGCAGGGCCATGGCTGCCCCACGTCCTGAATCGACTCAAAACGTTTCTCTTTCACAGTCACTTTGACTGTGAAAAGGAGCCAGGAGTCACAGGGCGCCAGAGCCCATTCAGGTGGAGGACAGGGAGTCGGGTAGCGCGAGCCTGCACTTCCCTTGGGGGTGCTCGGCAGCAGCGTTCACCGTAGTTTTGATCACACCTCGTAAGACCCTCGAGAAAGAGGACCCAGAGCTGCCGCTGAGTGAGGGGACGCGTGTGCTCACAGCAAGGAGCACAAGGCTTCCTGGTAATGCATCTTCCCCTAGAATGCGTTTGCTTGTTTGTTGTGGCACCAGGAATCGAACTCAGCACCTTGCACTTGCAGGGCAGGTGCTTATCCACTGAGCTATACCCCCGGCTGCGAGAATGCGTTTGAAAATCCCACCCTATTGTTTCTCGGCCTTTTGGCTAAGATCAAGTGTAGTATCCGTTCTTAGTTTAAAAATCCCACCCCTGTACTGATGGAGCCAGGAGACCCCAGGCAGACAGCTCTGCACTCTGATCTGTCTCGAGTCAATTTCCGGAAGACCTGAGGCCCTGCCTGCCCCCATCCATAGGCGTCTCATCTTTGTTCTTTCCACACAACTTCTAGCAAATGCACGGGCTTGGTCTCTTCTGGCTCCAATTGTCACTGGTGGTAATGGCAATGGCTTTAGAAATAAATTCAGTGAAACCCAGATGGCCACATTCTGTAAGAACATCTCTTCAGAGTGTGTGTGTGTGTGTGTGTGTGTGTGTGTGTGTGTGTGTGTTGAGACAGGGTCTCACTGTAGCACAGGCTGGACTTGAACACTAGGTAGCCCAGACTGGCCTCAAACTCACAGAGATCCTCCTGCCTCAGCCTCCCGAGTGTTTCTTTGGTGTTTTTGTTTTTTTCCTTACTGAACTACTCAAGCAAATATTACATGCAAATCAGAAAATCCATAAAGACTTAGTTGAGCTGTTTTCTACTTACGGATTCGAGCTGCTTCCAGCAAGTCTCAATGTGCTGCTGCGCTTTCCGCCCATCATGGAAGTTCTGGGAAGGGGAAGACACACAGGGGTCAGGATTCATCAAAACCACACGGAAATACTGGCGGCACAGAGCGTTTGCAAGTCCCAGGCCCTGGCTTCCATCACCAGCACTGTTAAATAGGGAAGTCAGTAAAAAAATAAATTAAGAGCCAGGCATGGTGGCCTACACCGTAATCCCAGCATTTGGGAGGCTGAGGCAGGAGGATCAACACAAATTTGAAGCCAGGCGAGGACACATAGTCAGTTCAAGGCCAGCCTGGGCTACATAGCAAGACCCCTGTCTCAAAAAAAAACCCAAAAAATTTGAATTTAAAAATCCAACAAGTAGCTGGGCATGGTGGCGCACGCCTGTAATTCCAGCACTCAAGAGGCTGAGGCAGGAGGATCATTGTGAGTTTGAGACCAGCCTTGGCTACAAAGTGAGCTCAAGGCCAGCCTGAACCATACAGCAAGACCCTGTCTCAAAAAGACAAAAAAAGAAAGAAAGAAAGAGAAAAAAATAAATAAAAATCCAACAAAAGGGGAAGTGAAAGAACAGAGTTCCCTTTTGACACCACAGATAAATATAATATAGAACATGAAGTCACATTTACCATGAGAAAAACCAACAGACCTGGTTGAAGACAGCAATCATTTTGATCAACCTTTTTGCTACTTTGGGGCATAAAGGACATTTTGATTTTTAAGTTTTTATTTCTTTCTTTATTTTTTGGCTTGTGAGGCAGGTCTTGCTGTGTGGCCTTGAAGTCACTATGCACCTCAGGCTGGCCTCAGATCCTCCTGCCTCAGCCTCTTAAGTGCTAGGGTTACAAACCTGCACCACTGTGCTCAGCTTATAAGGGCCATTTCTATAGGATTTGCCTGCTTCAGTGGTATGACTGGATGGATCTTTGAAGAGTCACAAAGCTGTGCAACCCAGGCAGGGTGTTGTTGGTGCACACCTGTAATCTCAGCACTCAGAAGGCTGAGGCAGGAGGATTGCCACATGTTCAAGACCACCCTGAACTACATAGTGAGACTCTGTCTCAAAACAAAAACAATACAAAACAAAAAACTACTGTGCAGCCCTCACTATAACCAGCCCTAGAACATGTTCCTCATCCCTGAAAGAAACAATCCCGTCTCCGGCTGTCACCCTCCAGTCCCGTTACAGGATCTGTGTCCGTGAGGCTGCCCTCCAGGACGGGTCCTGAAGTGGGGACCACACACAGGCTCTGTGCTTCCACGCCTTCTCCCTTCTCCCCCGAGGGTCAGGCTCCCCCGCCCGAGCCCCAGTGACAGGTGCTCGGTCAGTGCCCAGGCCGGGCTCTGCTGAGCGCAGCCGCCATGAGTGCTGGGAGCCCTGTGTGCCCAGGGTTGGCGCCCAGGAGCCCTCTGAACGGAGGGCTAAATTCCCCTCCGTGGGCAGCAGCAGCGAGGCAGGCGTGTGGGTCCAGGAAGGGCAGGTGGAGCCTGAGGGCCGGGCCTTCGGGGCTGCTGAGCTTAGCTCACTCAGTTTACAACTCAGCAGGGGAGGGCAGACCAAGCCAAGAGACACAGACTTAGACCAGGTGGGGGCAACTCGAGGGTCTGATTCTGGGGGGTGTCTCTGTCTCTGTTTGTCTCTTTCTCTCTCTTTCTCTCTCTCTCTCTGTCCCTCTCTATCTTGGTGCTGAGATCAAGCCCAGGGTCTGAACATGCCAAACCAGCATTCTACTGCTGAGGTATATTTTACCCCTAGTTAGATGTGGTGGCACATGCCTGCCATCCTAGCACTTGGGAGGCTGAAGCAGGGGGATTGCTGAGTTCAAGTCAGCCTGCGCTATACAGTGAGTTCAGGATCAGTCTATGCTATGTGGTAAGGACCTGCCTAAAAGAGAAAGAAAAATAAAAAAATCGCCGCGCGTGGTGGCACATGCCTGTAATCCCAGCACTCGGGAAGCTGAGGCAGGAGGATCGTTATGAGTTCAAGACCAGCCTGGTCTACAAAATGAGCTCAAGGTCATCCCGAACTGCATAGCGAGATCCTGTCTCAAAAAAAAAAAAAATCCCCAAATATATTTTTTCCTGGTACCCCGCTTTGGGGGAGGGGTGCTGAGTGTTGGAACCAGGGCCTTCACCATGAGCTACATCCCCAGCCTCTTTTTATTTTGTATCTTCAGACAAGATATCCCTAAATCACTCAGTTGCCCAGGCTGGGCTCATACTTGTGATCCTCCTGCCTCAGCCTCCCAGGACACCGCTCCCAGGTGTGCTCCATCACACCTGGCTTCCCCGGTCTTTTGCTCAGTCATGTGACCAGTGTTTCCTGGTGTGCCTCTGGGGGGCCCGAGGGCAAAGGAGGAAGGGGAGGGGCAGGCTTTAGCCTCAGTTAAGGACCGGGCGCTATGACCCCGAGCGAGGAGAGGACAGTACTAGGACCGGCTTGAGCCAGTGGTACAGGCCGCCTGGCACCACAGCGGGAGCCCAAGGTCTTAACCTCCCTGGGCCCCCAAACTGCGCTCCTTTCCTTCCTGACACAAACGACCTGCTGCACCTTCCAGGGCCCAGGGCCGCCCCGCCCTCTGTTCTCATCAGATCCGCCGCAGGGGCAGGGATGCTGGGCCCTGGGAGGGCAGGAATGTGTCCCAGGGCAGCTGGTCTCTGGACCAAAGGCCACCGGGCCATACAGCACATTCCATGACTTCCTGGAAGGCAGGCCCCTTGCCTTTTGGGGACTCCAGGGGCCATGGAAGTTCCCCTGTGGCCATGTGGCCAGCCCTGGGAACTGCACCACGGTCACTGCTGTCCACACCCCTGAACCCGTGCGCGTCACCCAAAACGCGCTTCTTTTTTGAGTCAGGGTTTCACTCTATAGTTGAGGTACTCCACTCACTATGTAGCCCCAGCTGGCCTGAAAATCACAGCGATCCTCCTGCCTCAGCCTCCTGAGTACTGGGATTACAGGCGTGCGCCACAGAAAGGCTCCTTTTATCTTTCTTTTCTTTTTTCTTTTTTTCAGTCCTGGGGATGGAACCCAGGGCTGGTGCACGCTAGGCGAGTGCTCTACCATTGAGGTCCATCTCCAGCCCAGAAAGGTTCCTTTTAATGAATGACCTTCCACCAGGACGCCGAGAGGTGGAGGCAGAGGAACTGCAGGTTCGAGTCCCACACAGGGCAACGTGGACACATGAGCCCTTGTCTCAGAATTAAAAAGGCTGGTGATGCAGTTCAGTGCGAAGGCCCTGGGTTCCATCCCTGGGGCCGGAACCTTTCCCCGGCGGCCCCAGGACTGTGCTGGCCAGGGAAGGGATGAGGAGTGGGGATCAGGTGTCCCAGCATAGAGCGCCTTTATTCCCGCGTTCGGCCGGCTGTCCGTTTGAGTTTCAGGGTGTGCAGCACCGGGCGGACCTGCCCCACTTGGGAGCCTGCGGGGCGTCGTCTTTCAGCTCTTACAATGGAGCCGGGAGAAAGCAGACAGGCGAGGAGCGGAATGGAGCGAGGATCCAGGCCGACAGGAGACACAGAGGGGGCAGGGCCAGGGACGGGCGCCTGGGAGGAGGACGCGGACACCGGCCGGGCTTTCTGCAAGCCGGGGTCACCTTCCAGAGGAATGAATGGGGCGGGGAGGAGGGCGGCCGGGACACAGAGACCGGACAGGGAGGCAGCAAGGGGCGCCGGAGCTCGAGGAGGGACGGTGACAGCTCTTCGACCCTGGCAGGGAAGCGGCCACGACAAAGTCAAACAAGTGACCCGGCTCCCTCACGGGGGCTCCGCGTCCGCAGCACCTGCCTCAGACGGCGGCCTTGCTTGGCTCTGCTCTGCCCTGCGCTGCGCCGGGCCGGGGACAATCAGGGCCTCTGTGGGGGACGGCTGAGGTCATCACAGCTCCTGTCTCCCCTCAGAGCAGACAGGAGACGCCAGGCTGGGACCGGAGACTGCCCCTTCCTCTCCCGTAATGAGATGTTGGGGGTTTTCTTTAAAGCACAAGAACCATCTAAAAAAAGCCTGATGCTATCCAGGGGTGACAGCTACAAATGCTTCTTTTCTCTTCTTTTTTCTGTTCTGTTCTTTTGAGATAAGAGTCTCGCTATGCAGTTCAGGTTGGCCTTCAACTCAGCCGGTCCTCCTGCCTCAGCCTCCCAGTGCTGGGATTACAGGTGTGCGTCACCATGACCACCTCAGTTGCTTATTTTCATTTCTATAGTTGGTTGTACTTTATTCTCTACAGATAAAATCATTTAAAAAAATTTTTAGCAAACAGATGAGATTAAAAGAAAAATCAAGAGACTCCAAACTAACCAACTAAATAACTTAAATGACGATGTCAGCCTTTCTGTTTGTGTTTGTTCTTTGTACTGGAAATTGAACCCAGGGCCTTCACACTGAGCTACCTCCCCAGCCCTTTTTATTTTCAGACAGAATCTGGCTACCCTGCCCAGGCTGGACTCAAACTTGTAGTCCTCCTAACTCAGCTTCCCATGTGCTGGGGTGACAGGCGTGCGCCACCACACCCAGCTCCAGAGACAGCTTTGAAGAAGATTTCACTGTGCAGCAAGAAATCAGGCGGAGGCTGGAGAGGGAAGCGGCAAAGATGCACTCTTCACGCCTGCGGGAGGCGGGCGCAGGCTCCCCTTGCTGTCTGGAGATAGGACACCGTAAAGGTTATCAAAGGAAGACACAGCACACAGCTGGGTGTGGTGGCAGACACCTGAAATCCCAGCACCCGGGAGGCTGAGGCAGGAAGATCACTGCAAGTTTGAGGCCAGCCTGAACTACACAGCAAGATCCTGTCTCAAAAACAAACCAACAAAAAAGAATAATAAAATAAAAGGTACAGCACGGATGGGAGAGGAATGACTGGGAAAGAAACAGTGAAAATTCAGGCCAGAGCAGGCGACCATCTGGAATTTTAAATCCACCTGGATGCCTCAGAGGAAAACAAAGGAACACACAGGCTGCGAGAGGGCAAAGCGGGAGGAGCGCCAGAACCTGGCTGTGGCCGAAGCCAGGACGTCCGCAGAGCCTGCGCTGACCCCTGCTGCGATGGAAGCGGGATGCGCCGTACAGGGGCTCCTGGGACCCTCTGTGTCACTCACGCATAAGTCCCCAACTGGAGCCTGAAACATTCCCACTGGGAGCAGCGCCCTGCTGCCTTCACTGAGGCCGACTTTTCCAGATGCGTTCAGAATGAAACACCTCCGCGAGTATGTTTGAAAGTTTCCCAACAGCCAAGTGTGGTAGCACAAGCCTGGGTTCCCAGCTCTTGGGAGGCTGAGGCAGGAGGATGCCAGAAGTTTGAAACCAGTCTACTGAGATCCTGTCATCATCTGAGCTCAGTGGGATCCCATGAGTCCTTGCCCCAGGTGGGATCTCTCTGTGGATGGGGACTTCACATGAGGCCGTTTCTCCCGCCCACCCTGTGAGCTGGGCGCCTTCAACTCCCCGGATGGAACACTTTGTAACACTTTCTCCCTCACAGTAAGCTGAGAAACTTTACGGCCTATCCAGAAAGCTGGAAGCAAGGGAAGCAGCTCAGCAGCCGGCTCAGTCACTGGATGAGGTCAGGGTGGCCAGACGTCACCGCTTGGGACAGAAACTCAGTGCAAACAAAAATGTGCACCGCCCTGGGGAAGGGCACCTGGGTGTGACACCCCAGCCCACAAAACAGGCCCGACCACCCCTCCTTCCAACAGCCTCTGCATAGCAAAGGAGACACAATTCCCACCCAAGGGCCACAGGTGGGATTAATGACAGGTGCTACTCAGGCCTACACGAGGGACACCCTTGGGGGCCAGGTGAACAGTCCAGGGTCATTTAAATAGTACAGTGTTCACATCTGTAATCTCAGCACTCTTGGGAGGCTGAGGCAGGAGGATTGCAAGTTCAGGCCCAGCCAGGGCAAGGCAAAGTATTGAGACCCTGTCTCAAAATTTTAAAAAGTTTAAAAATGCTGGGGATGTAGCTCAAGGTAAAAAGCCCTGGGTTCGATCCCCGGTGTTGAAAGAAGAAAAAACCAAAAGCACTGGGGAGGGCGGGGCAGAGGAGTCATCACAAATTCAAGGCCAGAAGCCCGGCATGGTGGCGCATACCTGTAATATCAGAACTAGGGAGGCTGAGGCGGGAGGTTGGGAGGACCGTTGTGAGTTTAAGGCCAGCCTGGGCTACAAAGTGACCCTGTCTCAAAAAGACAAAAAAAAAAAAAAAAAAGAAAACAACAAAAATGATAGTGCTTTAATTGCCACATTATGTGATCCTTCAATGTATTTATTTTTATTTTTAGAGACAGAGCTGGCCTTGACCTTGTGATCCTCCTGCCTCAGCCTCCCAGGTATCTGGGATTATAGGCCTGGGCCTCCCTGCCCAGCTATGGGCTCCCTTCAAAAGAACGGTAACTGTTACAGAAAAAAGGAAAACTGCTAACGCGGCTGTGTGTGAGAAAACCACGAATACGCATTCGTTTACTGCCTTTCTTCGTGTGCTCCCAGAGACTCACCATTTCCTAAAATGCCACTTTAATGTAATTAGAGAAGCTTCCCAGCTGAGGGCCCGCGGAGCCTCCCAGCAAAACATCTGACTCAGAGGCCCGGCTTTGTAATTCTTCTTCAAATAAAAGGGCGCTATAAATTACCAGATATTTAATGTAGCTCAGGACTACTGATAATTTCCTCCACAAATTACTATCATTTTTGATTTTAAAAAAGGAACAAACTGCAAAAGGCACGACTATAAAAAAAAGCATGCAATTAGCAGAGTGTAAGAAGATAAACAATTCCGTCGCAGGACGGCAAGGGAAGCTGAGGAAGCCCGAATCCTGTGCAGCCCGAGAGCTAAGCCGAGTTGCAGGGGCCTCATGCCACACCCTGCCCACCGCTGCCTCCGCTTCTCCGAACTCTGCCCCGCAAGGTACTTACTAAGCACCTGGCCCGGCCCTGTTACCCACCATACCTGGCACGGGGTGGCATGAAAACCCTGTCCTTGGGGAGCACGAGGTTGGAGAAAAATAAGCTTTGCAGGTAAATACATCAAAATGCCAGCTGGGAAGCCGGGTGTGGTGGTGCACACCTGTCGTTCCAGCACTCAGGAGGCTGAGGCAGGAGGATCTTGGCATTTGAGGCCAACCTGAGCTACATAGTTAGAACCCATCTCAAAACCAACAAACGCTGGCTGCTAGGAGCTGTCTCAGGTAGCTGTTGCAGGGGGAAAGTATGTGCTGAGCGTGCACAGGGCCCTGGGTTCGATCCCTAGCAACCTCTCTCCAGGGAGGAAAGAGTTAGCTGCCCATAGGCACTAGGGAAAAAAGGTAGACACGGGAGGGGGGGCAGGTGTGTGAATGGAGTGGAAAAGGTGAGGCAGATGGAGGGACAGGGCAGGAAACACCTGAAAAAATGGTCAGAAGCGTCCCCCAAAGAGCAGTAGAAAGGAACACAAGGAGAGAAGCCCTGCAAAGGGCCTGGGGCCACGGGAAGGAAGGGAGGAGGAGGCTGGGCTGTGGGCTTCCATTTCAGGACTTACACAGGACACAGCTGGGATTTCCTACTGTGCAAGCGCATGGTTCCATGAGGGACTTGGCCAAATGCTGCGCTCCCCGGGTGGGGGCGTGGCAGGGAGAGATGCAGGACGTGTGGACAGGATGACAGGCGCAAAGAGGCCAGACCGCTTGAGGGCCCTCGCAACCGGAAGTGGGTCAGCAACCGGAAGCCAGCGCTGGGCTCGGTGATACTCGGTTCACTATCATTTACCACTGCTAAATCACTGAACTGCCCAGGCTAGGCTGGAACTTGCAGTCCTCCTGCTCCAGCCTCCCAGAATGCTGGCAATATTCCCAGGTGACGTTTCACAGGGCCTGGGAGACCCTCAAAATTGTATGTAGAGACCTACAAGTTACTCTGTTATTAGAGACAGGTTCAGGCAGGCTTTGAACTCACTATGTAGCCTGGGCTGCCCTCAGATTTGCAGTGATCCTCCTGCCTCAGCCTCCCAAGTGCTGGAATGACTGTCGTGTGCCACCAAGCCACACGGAAAGAGACTTTTTTCGTTTTGAAGCGGGGTCCGTAACATTTCCACGGCCGGCAGAGGTGTCACCTTGCATGTCAGTGCTGCCCGCTGTCCCCATCACCGGGGCGCAGTCTCTTAGAGAAACCAAGTGCCTTACCGCTTTCCGCTCCTGCTTCAGCTCCTGGACGTAGCGGGCCAGGTCGGCCAGGATCTGCGCCGTCATGTTCTCCGAGATGACCTCGTGCTGCCCAGCGTAGTCGCCGGTCTCGTGCAGGGTGGACAAGAAGGCTCGGCACGACGTGTACCTGGGGACAGAGCGCGGCTCCTTCACCACGAGGCCCCGGGCCCCTCCGGCCCGGCGGGGAACAGTAATTACGGCCAGGCTCGTTCCTCCCGACTCCCGCGGGGCCGCACGGTTCATTACACAGAGCCAGGTCTCTGCAGAGCGGCTCAGAATTCATTACAACCCAGCACTTCTCATCCTAGTTAGCTTCGGTGACGCTTCGGGTAGGTGTCGCCCAAATACCTACACTTGCTGCACCCTGACATCTTAGACGCTCAGATCTGAATCAGAGACATAGATGAGGGACATAAACCAGGCCTGGTGGAGCCCCCCTGGCACCCCAGCACTGGGAGGCTGAGGCAGGAGGGTTGCCATGAGCTTGATACCAGCCTGAGCTACACAGTGAGTTCAAGGCCAGCCTCAACCTCAGATAGTGAGACCCTGTCTGAAAAAACAAAAGCAAAGCAATCAATCAATCTATCACAGACATAATACTTTTGGGCTGTCTGTGCATCATTAAGATGCCTTCATTGCAGACTGAAACAGATATATTTTTTGGCCAAACGAGCAGTACAACAAAGACACTTGATATTACAGAAGCAATAGCAAGAGTGTGTAATCCAGCGGGACGTGGTGGCACATGCCTGTAATCCCAGCACTCGGGAGGCTGAGGCAGGGGGATCGTTGTGAGTTCAGGCCAGCCTGGGCTACAGAGTGAGCTCAAGGCCAGCCTGAACTGCATAGGGAGACCCTGTCTCAAAAAGACAAAAAAAAAAAAGTGTGTAATCCACACTTCCTGCGTGTGTTTAGATTCTACTTTGCAACTTTTCCTCACACTTTAATGGAAATAATCAGGAACAGGAGCAGCGGCTCAGTATAAGGAAAGCTAGTTAAATGTACTTTTCTCCTTCAGTGTAGAATGCAACCTTTTTGCTTTTGGTTTTGGTTTTCTGAGGCGGGGTCTCGAGGGACTTAGTTCAGGCTGGCCTTGAACTCCTGGTGATCCTCCCGCCTCAGTCTCCCAAGTGCTGGGGGTATAGGCCACACCACCAGGCCCGGCAGCCTGTTTCTACACATCTGGATTCCTCTGGTCCCCCCACGGCTCCCCCGGGGCATGACACCGTCCCCACCGACCCCCTGACCTACATACCTGTACTCTTCCTCCTCCTTGGAGCTCTTTTTTGGTTGGTACTTCTTCGAAAGATTCCTAAAACAAGAACGCAGACACAGCACCTCATTTAGAAAGCCGATCGAGAGATCAGGAATGAAAGATGGCAGTGGTGCTTTGTTGACAAGATTCTCTCTCTCTCTCTCTCTCTCTCTCTCTCTCACACACACACACACACACACACACACACACACACACACACACACACACAGGCAAGCACAGCTGGAATCCATCTCCTCCCATGTGTGCCTCAGGCGGGACTCCCACAGTGTGACCTTTGACCTCCTGGGCAGAGCAAACCAGACGCGGAAATAGTGACCTGCGGTCATTCCCGGGGCGCGGCTGGGCCCAACTGGGTTTTATCAGCGCATTTGGACCGCACAGGGGTTCTCATCTGGGCCGGAGGGGCTGTCCGCCTCCTCGTGGTCACTCTTTGCTGGCCATCGCCGCCCCAAACCCAGGCCAGACTGCCGGATGTCAGGTTAAAGGCCGCCGTGCTGGCTGGCCGGCATGGAGGCCGGGCCACCGGGAAGCTTCTCACCTGCCTGGGGCGCGCGGCCCCAGCTCGGCTTAGCCAGAGCCCGGCCCTGGCCCCGCGCACATCCTCTCCAGGCCGAAAGCCAACCCCTGCGTTTGTTTTCATCTTAGCGTTTAACTTCACTGTCACAGGAAATACCCTACCACATCTTTATCGAATTTTCTGGATTCTGTCTTAATTTTCAGTTGTTGTACGCGGCTGCAGCAGTCAGGGAAATGCTATTTCGGCCTCATTAAGATTACTTTCGGGCCGGGGATGAAGCTCAGCGGCACAAATGCCTGCCTGGCAAGTGCAAAGTCCTGAGTTCGAGTCCCGGTACAAAAAAAAGATGTACTTTCGCTCCTACGGGCCGGACCATACACATGGCCCCTGCTTTCCCGTAGACTCATGGTCCACAGCCAGAGCCGCGCCCGTGCGGCCTCCGCAGTCTTCCCTGGGATTCTGTCTCGGTCACTGGTCTCTTACCTGACTGCAAAAATATGTCAGGTCCTCACACCTAAGTGTGAGCCCCGCTCTGCGCAAACGGGGTAAGCGGGACTCCCTCGTCCTCAGACTGTAGTCAGAGTCAAAGAAGGACCGCTGTTCTCTGCGGCCCACTCGCGCTCAGCACCGTCTGCGGGCCGGGGATGTGGCTCAGCGGTGCAGCGCCCACCTAGCCAGCGCCAGGGCCTGAGTTCGATTCCCGCCACCCCCCCCAACAAAATACACAAAAACATTCACAGAAGGGCCGGGGACGCGGCTCGGCCACAGAGCACTCGCCTCATTCACACGGGAGAGGCCCTGGGTCCAACCCCTGGCACCACGAAAAAAAAGCTGAGGACGCTTGCAGGTGGAGCCCGCCTGCGCTGGCTGGTCAGTCTGCACAGGGCTGTGTGTCCGCGAACGCGGCTCCCGTCTTCTGTTGGCTATGAGGACCAAGCAGGCTCCTGCGCAAGCGCTTGGCTTTCTTAGGACGCAGAGAACACCGGGTCAGTGGGGACAGCAGCATCGCGAGCGACTGTCTCTTACGGTCCCCAGGCCGTCAGCGTGCCTGCCATGACCACGGCTGTGCTGCCCCGGATGTCCATGCTTCCACCAGGACCCAGGGAAATGTCCAGTTCTCCTCCTCGGAGGGACACTGAAATGCTTTCAACACCAGCTCTACAGCCCTCCCAGGCTGGGTTGGTCCTTCCCCACTCCCTCCCTCCCTCCCTCCCTTCCTTCCTTCTGGTTTTTTGAGACAGGGTCTCACTGTGTAGTTCTGGTTGGTCTCAATTTACTATGTAGCTTTGTTTGTTTTTTTGAGACAAGGTCTCACTATGTAGCTCAAGCTGGCCTTGAATTCACCATGATCCTCCTGCCTCAGCCTCCCGAGTGCTAGGATGACAGGATTTATCTAATCATTCTAAATCCAAAGGAATACAAAATTTGGGGGTGCAGCTCAGCGGGGAGCATTTGCATGTGCTCAGCATGTGACAGGGCTTGGGTTCCATCCTCAGCATTGCAAAAAACAAAACAAAAAAACAAAGGACAAAGAATACAAAAAGGGCAAAATTTCATTCATGGTTATAGCTCAGAGCCTTAGAGAAAACATAAGGCAAAAAGCAGATCCATTTTATGTTGAAAACACAATGCCTTTCTTTGGCTGGTTTCCCACAACCACCCTTTAAAAGATACACATGAGAGCCAGGCGTGGTGGCACACACCTGTAATCTCAGCACTTGGGAGGCTGAGGCAGGAGGATCACTGTGAGTTTGAGGCCAGCCTGGGCTACAAAGTGAGCTCAAGGCCAGCCTGGGCTACACAGTGAGTTCGAGGCCAGTCTTAACAGTATACTACACAGCCAGACCCTGTCTCAAAAAAAACCAAACTTTAATTTTATGGGGTGGGGCCCGGTTGCATGTGGGCTGTGACCCAGGTACTCAGGAGGCTGAGGCAGGACTGACACCTGTGAGTTTGAGGCCAACCTGAACTACATAGTGAGACCTTGTCTCAAAAAAACAAAAATAAAACAGAAAAAAGATAAATAAGCATAAATAATTAAAGTTTTGTGATCTGTCTGAGGAACTGGAAGTGTTTACTTGACTCGCTGTCCAGCAGACTGAAAGGAAGAGGAAAGTGCCCTCCCTTCGCTAGGAATGCTGGGTGCAGACCCGGTGACCCGTAGCGGGAAAGTTTACAAAACGAGACCCTGGGCCCCGCCCAGACCCAGACACAAGGTCCAGGGCGGGCCTCAGGGATGCTTGTGTTTCTTTTATTGTTTTAATGCTCACCACAGATTCCTGGATAAAGGTGGCCAAGTAAAAGTCAACCAGGAACAGTGCTTTGCTAACAACAAAATGTAAAAGACAAAGGCCAAAAAATTTTTCTTTTTTTCTTAGGGGATGGTGCAGCTGAGACAGGGTCTCGCTGTGGAGACCAGGCTGGCCTGGAACTTCGCAATCCTCCTGCCTCAGCCTCCCAAGTGCTGGGATGACAGGTGTGCACCACCAGGCCCTGAACCAAGAAAATTTTCAACAGGGGAAAATAAACAAACCCTCAGTTCATAGGCTTTGGGCAAAGGTGACAGGGAAAGGGATAGAGGACTGCAGCAGCCGCAGGACCCAATTCAGACAGAAGTGGGTGGGGCAGGGAGGAGGCCGGAACCAGTGACGGGAAATGGGGCAAAAGACACTGTGATTCGCACAGGGGCCCGAGGCGGTGTCTCCACCTTCCAGCTCTCAGCACAACCTGTGCTGGGCGCACCCCAAACCTGGGGGTCCACAAGCCCACGACACCTCTTTGCTGAAGGGACTCAGCCCGAGACAGAAGCGCCCCAAGTCTCAGAAGGAACAGCGGAGCCTCAGGCCAGGCTTCCTCAGCTGCACATGGCCCCCGAAGAACACGCAAGCCCGGCTTTGGGGGGACTCGAGGACCAGGACAGGAGGCGTCACCGCTGACAGCCGGCCACCCAGGGACAGGCGCCGGCCGAGGGCCTCCACAGGCCGCACCTGAGGTTCCTGCGTCCAAGGACACAGGTCCCTGTCACTCTTCTTTACGCTCTGCAGGTGGAGGTGGTGGAGCTTGGGGAACAGTCAGTGCTGAAATCCCGCCGCAAGGGACAGCAAGGACCCATGTTTACAGCAACACAGTTTTTGGGCGAGTTTTTTTGGTCTTTTTGAGACAGGGTCTCACTATGCATTTCAGGCTGGCCTTGAGCTCACTTTGTAGCCCAGCCAGGTCTTGAAGTCACAGATCCTCCCGCCTCAGCCTTCTGAGTGCTGGGATTATAAGTGTGGATTAAAGCCCTGCACTGCCACACCCTGCAGCAATGCAGTTTGTGATAGTTAAATCTTGGAAACAGCCCAAACGCCCATCACTGAAGAATGGATGAAGATGCTGTGCATTTTTATACAATGAAGTACTACTCTGCCATAAAGAAGGATAAGCTCGAAGAAGGATAAGCTCAAGTCTTTTCTAAGTAAATGGATGCCCCTTGAGACCACACTCCTAAGTGAAATAAAGGGGACACGCATTTAAATATGCACTGTATTTCTGGCGTGAGAAACTGAAAGTAAATAAGGACCAAAGTTGCCACAGTGTCGCATGCCCATAGTCCCAGCACTCAGGAGGCTGAGGCAGGAGGATCGTTGCCAGTTCGAGGCCAGCCTGGGCTACAAAGTGAGCTCAAGGCCAGCCTGAACTGTATAGCGAGACCCTGTCTCATAAAGGCAAGAAAAAAAGATGTATAATAGACACTGGGAAAAGGAAGGGTCCAAATGGGATGAGGAACAAGGGGGGAGGGGGGGAGAAGAACAAAAGAGAACAGAAGGAAGGAATGGAAACAGCTTTGTGAATAGGGAGGGAGTACAAAGGGAAAAGCAGCAGCGAGAGGGACCAGGTACAGGCACAACTGCTGCCCACACGGGGCTCCCACCCCCAATCCCAGCTCTCAGGGAGGCTGAGGCAGGATTGAAAGTTCAAGCCCAGACTGGGCAACTTGGCAAGACCCTGTTTCACAATAAAAAAAAGAAAAAAAAAAGAAAAAGAAAAAAGAACTGAGGCCACAGCAGTACAGAGGCCCTGTACCAAAAAAAAAAGCCAAGCACGGTACATGAGGGTCCCTCAGAGGATGCCGGGTGTACCGAGCAGGGGGGTCGTGTACCGAGCAGGGGGGCGTATACTGAGCAGGGGGGCGTGTACCGAGTGTACTGTAAACTGCAGGGAGAGTCTCACCGCGAATGCTAAGTACGCAGGGAGGTGCCCGGGGCACTCAGGCCAGGTGGAGGCAGGCGGAGGTCGGGCGGTGTCTGGGGTGCAGGGAGGGGGGCGGGCAGGGCACAGCGCTCTGCTGGCTCCCTCGCTTCAGGGAGGAGGGCGGGGACAGCCAGGATGGGACGGAGGAGGCGGGGTCGGAGGAGAAACCTGTGACTCAGCCAAGGCTCAGGCAAGACCGCGCGGCAGCCGCAAGGGGCAGCTGGGTTTGGGGGCCCGCAATGGTCTGAAGGCCCGCGTTTAGCGAGTGGGAACACCAAACTAAACACAAAACCAAGAAACCAAAACAGCCAGGCGTGGGGGCGCACACCTGTGATCCCAGCACTGGAGAAGCTGAGGCAGGAGGATCGCCATGCGTTCCAGGTTCCTTGCCCTGCTTGTATTAAATCATTTTCAAGTCAAAATAAAAACATCATCTTTAAACTGGGCGTGGTGGACCACGCCTGTAATCCCAGCACTCAGGAGGCTGAGGCAGAAGGATTGCCACCTGGACCACATAGTGAGTTCCAGGGCAGCCTAAACTACACAGAGATCCTGTCTCAAAAAAACCCACACACCCGGCAAAAAAGAAAGGCAGTCGCCTCACGTTGGCAAAGCCCTGAGCACCCCCACGCAGCATCGCACGCACATGCGCAGGACAGAGCATGTGCAGAGCTGCCCGCATGCCCTCGCCCCCCAGTCCTGTAAACGTGAGCAAGCGGACAGGACCGAGGCACCAGGGAAGAGAAGTTCGGACTAGTAGAAAAGAAAAAATAAACAAGCTCTAAGAGAGGAGGAAAGGAGTGGGCGTCACTTGGGCGAGGCCGCTCTGCAAGGCATTTCCACGTGAGAGACAACACATTATGACTAATGGAGCTGCGTTTGAATAATGAACAGAGAGGACCATTTTCCATTCCGGCTCTCGGAGCTAAAAGCCCAAGTGCTGCTGAGGCAGAGCCGCACAGGGCGCTAGGGATGCTGTGGGTCTGGCAGTTAGTTATGTTATTTCACTGAACTGAACTTACTACATGAGCCAGGCTGGCCTCGAACTTGCAGTGACCCTCCTGCCTCAGCCTCCCGGGTAGATGCTAGATGCTTAAACAACGATGATGACAACCCTATAAAAATCTGTTCTTTCATCATTACAATACATACTCTGGATGAAAACTCAGTACTTTTTTTTTAAAAAAACAGAGTCTCACTGTCTCACTATGTAGTTCAGGCTGGCCTTGAATTTGCTTATGTAGCCAGGGCCAGCCTCAAACTCATGGCAGTCCTCCTGCCTCAGCCTCCCTGGAGCTGGGATGACAGGCGTGCGCCACACCTGGCAAAAACTCCATGCTTCTAAAACCCAAAATCAGCTTGGTGTGGTGGCGCACGCCTGTCATCCCCGCAGTCAGGGAAGAGGCTGAGGCAGGAGGACTGTCACGAATTTGATGGCAGCCTGGACTACACAGTGAGACCTTGTCTCAAAAATCAACCAAAATGCAGTGAACCTCGGGCCTGAGCTGCGGCATGGAGCAGCGTCAAGGCCTGGGTTCCACCCCCAGCACAGCAGCAAAAACGACACAAAACCGAGCCTAAGGAACAACGCCTTGCCTTTTATTTTCAGTGTCCTGTAGAAATGAATTTTCTGCAGCGCGGACGGGACGGGGAGAGGACAGCGGGGACAGGACGGCGCGGCCCCTCGCCCGGCCCCTACCTGAGCTGCTTGGCATAGCTGAGCTCGATCTCGGTCCGCTCCTTCACGAACTTGATGTACCGCTCCAGGACGTCGATGCCCCACTGCGTGTGCTTCTCCAGGTTGTCAAACTGGTCCTGTGGAGAGAGCGCGCGACAGGTGAGCTTCGCTAGCGGCCCGGCCCCGCGGCAGCCGCGACACTTTCCGGGCGCCCTCAGCCCTGCAGCCGCGCTTAGTCACAGGCCCGGACTGCGAACGGCCCAGGCCACTGCCTGGCGTCTAAGGAGCAAAGGTCACGGTGGAAGGAAAGGTGCCCCCCGCCGCCCCATGCCTCGAGCTGGCGGCGACACTGGCATCACCCAGGGGGCTCAAGGCGGTGGGCTGACTTGGGCGAGGAGGGCCAAGGGAGAGGCACAGGGCTCTGCTTTCTCCCTGGGGATGAATGGACACCCGGGTCCTTTCACACGCACAGCAGGCCCTCGCGGTGTGCCAGAGCCGGCTCCGCGCCGGGAGCAAGGCTTGGTAGCCGCGGCAGTTCTGGGGACTGGGGTGCCCAGGACTGCGGTGGGTGATCCCCTCGGTGCCCCCAAGGGGAAGTGGGGATAAGGAATGGGTGTGGCCGGCAGAGAGCAGAGACAGCAGGGAGCCGGGTCACCACCCAGGGCCTTGAGTGCCGAGCTCAGAGCATCCAGTGGCCCAAGACCTGCAGGGGTGGCCGGACCACAGGGCTGCTTCCGGTCATCATTCAGCAGGCTGTCTTCATGGTCCAGGGGACAGGGGACAGGGGACAGGGGACCCACGGGGCTCTCGGGCTCTGCTCCCCGCGACGGTGTGGGATTCACCAGGAGTTGAGACAGCTGGAAACACAGACCCACCCGCTTTGGGCCCGAGGAGCAGCTGGGCTCGGGGATCTGAGGTCAGGCCGGGCCGGGGCTGGGGAGCAGCGCTGCGCAGAGGAGCTGGCCGGGAGGGGGCGGGGCGGGACGCCCGCCAGGGAGGCCCCGGCCCTGCGGAGGAGGCAGCCAGGGCGAGCGCGGAGTCTCGGGGCTGCGGGACAGAGGACCAGGCTGCGGCCCCTGTGGCGCTCCGCCCGAGACCCACTCCCCGGGTAGCGCTCGCCTGTCACCCACAAGCAAGCCCGACCTCTTCTAAACACGCAGCACAACTTCTGCCGGCAGGGCCGCGCTGTACCGCGGCTCTCCACCCTGCACGCACCGTGCAGCCCCTATCCTGTGTGGACTCTGTTCAAAGTCCTGCAGGGCGCTGGGCGCACGCTTGTCATTCCAGCATTCAGGAGGCTGAGGCAAGAGGATTACCATGAGCTTGAGGCCAGCCTGGGTTACAAAGCAGGACCCGGTCTCAAAAAAAAAAAAACGAAAAAAAAACCACTGCAAAATATCCAGTAGCTTTTGAAACAGGTATTTAAAGCTCTCACTGATTCTTGGCTTTCCACGGCATACACCGCAAAGCCTGGGTTCCGTCTCGAGGAGATTATTTATTTCTGTTATCTCTGCCGACAAGGGTTGTTGAGCAAATATGCAGTGTAGCAGGAGCGCAGGTCTCTCGAAGGCCCGAGAACAAATGCACAGAGTGGAGCGTGGCTGTGAAGCAGCCCCGGTGACATAGCTTCTTTCCAGCGCTCTGCTCGGCAGTGAGCAGCACCTGGCTGCCGGAGTCTGGGAAGTTTATAAATCAAGTTTATTTTCAAAATGCTAAGAACCCCTTGCTCCACAGGAGTCCTCTTTGGGGATGCCACACCACCCGCCCCTTTCTTTTTCCATTTTTTTGAGACAGGGTCTCACTGTAGTTCAGGCTGGCCTTGAATTCACTTTGTATCCCAGGCTGTTCTGGAACTCACAGGGATCCTCCTGCCTCAGCCTCCTGAATGCTTTGATGACAGGCATGCACCACCACGCCTGGCTATGCCCCTAGACTTCTTGTCCCATTAACAATCTGACAACAATTAACAATTTTCCCGAATTACATTAGTTTGCAATTCTTTTTAAACTTTTTAACGTCATGTGCATATTTAAAAGCAACAGCTTCTGACAACCAAGTCCTTGCTGAGGCAGGAGGATCGCAAGTTCAAAAGCAGCTTAGGGCTACACAGTAAGACAATCTCTCAAAAAAAAAAAAAGACAACAATTATTGGCCTCCACCAGGCAGTCTGGTGCCTGCCAATGGCCACAGGTATCCAGGAGGCTGAAGCAGGAGGATTCTTTGAGCCTAGAGTTCTAGACCAGCTTGGGCAACAAGGCAAAATCCTCTTTCAAAAAAAACCCACAAGGGGCTGGGGATTTAGCTCAGCGGCAAAAGCGCTTGCCTGGCAAGCGCAAGGTCGTGAGTTCGGTTCCTGGTACCAGAGAAAAACCAAAAAAAAAAAAAAAAAAAAAACCCACAAAATACTCTAGTAGTCTCGTCCCATAAGCTGTTTTTCAATAAAGTTCATCTGTGCTCAAAACCTCCCTGGTGCCAGGCACCTATAATCCCAACACTCAGGAGGCTGAGGCAGGAGGACTGCTGTGAGTTTGAGACCAGCCTGGGCTCCACAGTTAGTTCAAGGCACTTGAACTACATAGTGAGATTCTGCCTCAAAAATATCTATTAATTAATTAATTAATTAATTTATTTATTTATTTATTTATTTATCTTTTGGTCTTTTTGAGACAGGGTCTCACTATGTAGTTCAGGCTGGCCTTGAGCTCACTTTGTGGCCCAGGCTAGTCTCAAACTCACAACGATCCTCCTGCCTCAGCCTCCTGAGTGCTGGGATTACAGGCGTGTGCCACCACGCCCGGCTATTTTTCAAAACTGATTTCTGCAAAAAGAGAAAAACTATTGGGAAGACGGTGTCTGTTTTGCGTTTTTGCACATCTCTCTCCTGCCCCGCTTAACTGAAGACAGCTGGCTCCCGCGCTCAGCCTGCTGCCGCTCCGGACTTTGCAGTAAATGAAAAACTACAGCTTCCCTCAGACGGGCAGTTAGGAACAGCAGAGTTTCAACATTCCTTCGAGATCACTTTAAGTTATTCTTCACCATGACACTGAAACCTGACAAACCGTCCCTCAGAGGCTAGCTGCAGTGCGGCATCTGAGACTATCAGATTCGGTCACAATCAAATAATCTTGTACTTCAGGTTTATTTTGTTTTGTCTGTTTGAGACAGGGTCTCACTATGCAGTGCAGGCTGGTCTCAAACTCTTGGGGACCCTCCTGCCTCAGCCCCCAAGTGCTGGGGTGACAGGCGGGCCTGGCTGAAGGCTCTTTATCTGTGTACAATGAGGACACACTCTTCACTGGGCCTTCAGAAAACGTGATCTTGCTGGGTGTGGTGGCGCACGCCTGTAATCCCAGCACTTGGGAGGCTGAGGCAGGAGGATCTTGCGGGTTTGAGACCAGCCTGGGCTACAAAGTGAGCTCAAGGCCAGCCTGAACGGCATAGTGAGATCCTGTCTCAAAAAAAAAAAAAAAAAGACAGAAAATATGATCTCCTCGCTATGTACTGACGCTATCTTCTGAGTGTGCTGACACGTTCCATCGGGAAGATATCAAAGGCTCACATTTGCTCATGCCTGGCCTATCTCATCTTTTCTGAGTCTCTAAATATTTGGAAGCTGTCGCACTCCCAGGGAAATACAACCTTCTCCAAATTCTAATTTTCACTTAAAAGCTAGAAAGCTGTCACTGACAACAAATATTGTCGGTTGTTTCCTAGAAGTGACATCCGTCTCCCTCCATCTGGTTCTAGGAAAATAGCTGCAAATGCTTCATTCTGTCTATCATTCCCTCAGGGGCCGGGGATGTGGCTCAGAGGCACAGCGCCTGCCTCGCAAGCACAAGGTCATGAGTTCCATTCCCGGTACCAAAAAAAAAAAAATCATCCTCCCAGGCAAAAGTGATTTGTTCCACTTATGACTCAACTGCGTAACATTCTGGGGCATAGGGAAGTGCTTCAGGAATAAGCCCATCTCCGTCTTTACACTCAATTAGAAACGTGTATTGCCAGGTGTGGTGCTCAGTGCCTGTAATGCCTGCACTCTGGGAGGCTGAGGCAGGAGGATCCCAGTTTTGAGCCCAGCCTAGATAAGTTAGGGACTTAGCAAGACCCTGTCTGGGGGTGCAGGGGGAAGGTGACGATGTAGCTCAATGCAAAGTCCCTGGGTCAAATCCTTAGTTGAAAAAAAAGTATATTTGAGGCTTGAGGTTATGATAAAATTAATAATCTTCACTGTTCTGTCTAAGACTTTTTTCATTTTTTTGAGACAGGATATTGCTATGTAATTCAGGCTGTTCTTGAACTCACTAAGTAGTTCAAGTTGCCCTTGAACCCCTGGCAATCTTCCTGCCTCAGCCTCCAGAGGCTGAGACTACAGTCATGTGCCACCAGGCCTGGCTGCTCTAAGTTGTACATTTGCAAAAATGAAGAAAGCCAGGTAATGGAAAACACTGCGTAATTTATGAGTGCACACTATATACACCAGCTCTCAGCCGTGCATTCTAAAACCCCAAGGGCCCGGTGGATGCTTCCCAGCAGCTGGCAGCAACCCTTGGCATCTTCCAAGGGCCCTCCACAGTCCTCTCCTGACCTCACACTTCACCTTCACCTTTTTGAGACATATCCAGGCTGGCCTTGAACTAACTCCCAGTGATCCTCCTGCCTCAGCCTCCCAAAGGCTGGGCTGATAGGTGGGAACCAAGATGCCCAGCCTGCCCTTGATCTTAAGGTGTCACTGTCCCTTGAACCCAAACCCACCAAGGTTTGTGCCAGGGCCATCTGGCTACAAGGCAACTTTTAATATGGGGCCTCCTATCACAGAAAGTGTGTTCAGGGGGCCCTGGTGCCAAATCCCTGGGAGAAGCCAATCTGGGGGGAGACTCAGACGCTGCAGTGACATCTGTGTGAGTGACCTGGACTCAAGGAAAGGGGCCCTGAGGCCAGCAAATCGCTGGTCCGCTCCGTGTCGCAGGCGGCTTTGGTCTGCGCCGTGGACACCCTGGTTGTTCGTAACTCCGTTGCATAGGGTGTGGGCACCCTGGGAAGCCAAGTCCCTTAGGAGGCCATCAGGGGCAGTAGCCCGCCTCGCCTCTGAGGAAAAAGTGTCAGAAGATGAAAATTTATCCAAAGACGAATAGCAAGA